CCGTCCCCCTGTCCCCCTGTCCCCCATCCTCCCTCCCTCCTTTTTTATTTTTTTTTAACAACATTTTTATTATTTTTTCAGAAATAATACAATGTGGTACGAATGTACATGTGTATTTTTTACATTTTTAAACATAAAAAAAACAAAAACACAGACACAGGGTGATTTCAAGAGTGTGAGAAAAAGCAAAACAAAAAAAAACCTTTTTGCATAATTAGTGGAGCGACAGGTCTCCAACGTTTAGTGAATATGGGTGTTTGTAGTCTCAGGGAGTATGTTATATATTCCATTTGGTATATATTCCAGACCTTTTGAATCCATATATTGTAGCAAGGATCTATCTATCTATCTATCTATCGAAAATCCATGTAAATGACTAATTGTCTTATCCCTTTTTAGATTTATAGTATTCCCTTTATAAATATACTTTTGGGTTAAGTTCTCTACTCCTCCTGTTAGCTTTTTAATTTTAATTTTAAAACAGAAACGATTCAATTCAATTAAATTACATTTTATTTCTATAGCGCCACCTCACAACAACAGTTCGAAAATCCTTGTAAATGACTGATTGTCTTATTCCTTTTTAGATTGACATTATTCCCTTTATAAATATACTTTTGGGTTAAATTCTCTACTCCTCCTCCTGTTAGCTTTTTTCATTTTAATTTTAAAACAAAAACGATTCAATTCAATCAATTCAATTCAATTCAATTCAATTCAATTTTATCTCTATAACGCCACATCACAACAACAGTTCGAAAATCCTTGTAAATGACCGATTGTCTTATTCCCCCCCCCCCCAGGTGCCCGGCGGACTTCGTGGGCAGCCGGTGCCAGCACGCCAACCCGTGCCGCTCCTCGCCGTGCCACAACGGCGGCGAGTGCCGGGCCGTCGCCCACGGCAACGGCGCCGACTTCCGCTGCCTGTGCCGGCTGGGCTTTACGGACCGGCTGTGCCTGACCCCCGCCAACCACGCCTGCCTGGCCGCGCCCTGCCGCAACGGGGGCACCTGCGACCTCCTCACGCTCGCCCTCTTCCGCTGCCACTGCCCCCCCGGCTGGACAGGTAGGAGGGGAAACCTGAGAATAAACCAGAGTAGATCAAAAGTATTAAAAGATAACATTTATTGGGTCACAGTTAAGTGTATCAACTGGGCTCTGACAGACAGAAACCTCTCTCTGGGTCTCAGTGGGCAAGGAGGTCTGGACACAACCAAGTCCTATTGCTTAGTTAGTTACTAACCCTAACCGTGACATGAACAGGCCAGGTCCTAATTAATGCAATTCAATTAAATTCAATTTTATATAGCGCCACGTCACAACAACAGTTATCTCACAGCGCATTCCAAACAGAGCAGGTCAGACCCTACTCCAAAGTTTATTACAGAGACCCAACAATTCCCGCCATGAGCAAGCACTAGGCGACACAGGCAAGGAAAAACTTCCTTTCAACAGGCAGAAACCTCTCTCTGGGTCTCAGTGGGCAAAGAGCCCTGAGATCTGGGTGATGGGCATTATCTCCTGGGCTCGATCCGCCTCCTCAAAGGAGGACTGGACACAACCAAGTCCTATTGGCCAGTTACCTCTGGGCATGAACAGGCCAGGTCCTAATTCATGCAGATGACATTGGAATTTCTCCGACTTGATAAGATCTGATCCCTCGTTAGCCCAATTCTTTAATTGGAAGCCTGAGAATAAACCAGAGTTGATCAAGAGTATAAAAAAATGACATTTATTGGACACAGTTAAGTGTGTCAGCTGGGCTCTAACAGAGAAAAACCTCTCTCTGGGTCTCAGTGGGCAAAGAGGACTGGACACAACCAAGTCCTATTGGCTAGTTGGCTAGTTACTAACCCTAACCGTGACATGAACAGGCCAGGTCCTAATTAATGCAATTCAATTGCAATCTATAGATTATTGATCCCAGTCTAAAGGGAATAATATAAATCTATAAAGGATAATAATAATATAAATATAAAAAGGAATAAGACAGTCAGTCATTTACATGGATTAGGTTACAACATACTGTGCTAAAGTGAGTAATTATAGCCCGATTCGGCACGTCGGCTTATTCTTTAGACTTATTCTTTTGTCAGATGTAAGTCAGAAGTTTGATGTAACATGGCTTTTTTAAAATTATTATTATTTCTGTATTTAGGGTTTTTCTGTCTTGTTTTCTGTTTTGAAATTAAAATGAAAAAAGCTAGGAGGAGGAGTAGAGAATTTAACCCAAAAGGGAATAAGACAAATCTATAAAGGAATAAGACAATCAGTCAGTCATTTACATGGATAGTCGATAAATAGATAAAGTGAGCTAAAGTGAGTAATTATAGCCCAATTTGGCACGTCCGCTTATTCTTTAGACTTATTCTTTTGTCAGATTTCAGAAGTTTCATCTAACTTTTTTTTATTATTAGTTCTGTATTTAGGGGTTTTCTGTCTCGTTTCTGTTTTAAAATTAAAATGAAAAAAGCTAGGAGGAGGAGTAGAGAATTTAACCCAAAAGGGAATAATATAATTCTAAAAAGGAATAAGACATTAAGTCATTTACATGATGGATTAGGTTATGACATACTGTGCTAAGGTGAGTAATTATAGCCCGATTCACGTCAGATTATTCTTTAGACTTATTCTTTTGTCAGATGAAAGTCAGAAGTTTGACTTTTTTTAATGATTATTTCTGTATTTAGGGGTTTTCTGTCTCGTTTCTGTTTTAAAATTAAAATGAAAAAAGCTAGGAGGAGGAGTAGAGAGTTTAATGGATTAGGTTACGACATACTGTTCTAAGGTGACTAATCCTAGCCCGGTTCTAACCCAGGTAAAACCTGCCAGACGCCTAACCCGTGCGCCTCCCACCCGTGTGCTAACGGGGGCCAGTGCTCGGCCTCGGCCCTGGACCCGGGCTACCGCTGCTCCTGCCCCCCCGGCTTCAGCGGCCACACCTGCAAGCAGGACGTGAACGAGTGCGCGCAGAGCCCCCCCCCCTGCCTGAACGGGGGGGGGTGCGTGAACGAGGTGGGGTCCTACCGCTGCCGCTGCCCCCCCGCCTTCGCGGGCCGCCACTGCGAGGCGCCCTACTCGCCCTGCGCCCCCCCGCCCTGCACCAACGGGGGCACCTGCGTCCAGAAGGGGGACGCCCACTACGACTGCAGCTGCCTGCCAGGTGAGA